CTCCCCCTTTCTCCCTTTCCATTTTTTCTTTCTTTTTCTTTTTTTTCTGACATTCACGTTTAGGATGTCCGCAGTCTGCGTATCCTTCCTTCCACTAACGTATTGTTCCCGACTAGAGGGCACCGCATGGCTCTGGCGGTTTGGTGTGGGGAAAAAGAGCTACCGCACTCGTCAGCGGGTGTGTGTGTGTGTGTGTATATATATATATATATATATATATATATATATATATATATATATATATAGAGAGAGAGAGAGAGAGAGAGAGAGAGAGAGAGAGAGAGAGAGAGAGAGAGAGAGAGGAAAGAGGTGTATACCTGAGGTCTCATTTTTCCGTGTTTTGACACAATATTAATGAGATCTGACAGACAATAATGCCAAGGAATGTATAGGGGAAGTTATTAGAACAAATGCGATGTAAATAAGAAGAAAGAAAAGTGGGTGAAAAAACAACCAGTCGTGAGCAGGTTACGTGAACTTATTACGAGCTGCCCGCTTGTAATAAGTTCACGTGGTATGTGACGCCACACATATGCATAAAAAGGTGTTTCACACTCGCCTCTTAGCTACAGAGGGCGCTGACTGACACTCCCACTTCTAAATTCACATATAAAACCCCAAAAAAGTGGGTGGAGGGAAGGCCGCTGTGATAGCTCAGTGGTTAGAGCATCGAACACGTTATTCGAAGGTCGTCGGTTCGAATCCTGCTCACGGCTGGTTATTTTTTCACCCACTTTTCTTTCTTCTTATTTACATCGCATTTGGTCTAATAACTTCCCCTATACATTCCTTGGCATTAATGTCTGTTAGTTTTCATATATATATATATATATATATATATATATATATATATATATATATATATATAATAAGAAGTGTATCCCTAAGGGCTCGTTTTTCCGTGTTTGTACACAATATTAATGAGATCTAACAGACAATAATGCCAAGTAAAGTATAGGGGAAGATATTAGACTAAATTGCAATGTAAATATGAAGAAAAGTGGGTGAAAAGATAACTTGCCGGGGGCAGGATCCGAACCTGCGACCTTCGAATGACGTGTTCGATGCTCTACCACTGAGCTACCACGATAGCGATCCCACCAGTCACTTTATAGGGTTTATATGTGAATTAAACGTGGGAGTGTCAGTCAGCGCCACCAGTAGCCATGGCGGCGAGTGTGGCACACTCTTTTGAGCCTGTTTGGCGTCACGTAGCACGTGAACTTGTTACGAGTGGGCAACTGACCGATAGTCCCTCGTATCCAACCTAAAGGCACTAAGTCTGCCAGTACAAGACCCTCGTTAATGAATAAGGAAAGAAGTGTATACTTGAGGGCTCTTTTTTCCATGTTTGATGCATTATTAATGAGATCCAACAGACAATAATGCCAAGGAAAGTATCGGCGATGTTAATGAACCGAATTGTAATGTTAAGGTCGCAGGTTTGGTTCCTGCCCTCGGCAAGTTATCTTTTCACCCACTTTTCTTTCTCCATATTAACATTACAATTTGATGTGTGTGTGTATACATACATGCATACATACATACATACATACATAAATACATACGTACGTACGTACATACATACATGCATACATACATACATACATACATACATACATACATACATACATACATACATACATACATACATAAATGCATACATACATACATACATACTACTGAGAGACATCGGTTTATCGGAAGAATTTCCTGTATTCCCACAGTGTGGCAGCATAATATTTCAGGCGAAAGAAATGATAGAAAAAGGCACGCATTTTGAAGATACAGGCAACGCAATGCTGTACATGTGTGGGAAAAGCCCTTTGGTCCATGTTCTGTACATGTATGGTGAAAACCTTCTAAGGGTAAAAGCATCATGTGTAAATAATTTTAGCTTGCTTCATCTTCTCTTGTTATTTTCACCACATTTTAAAGTTGCTGGACAAAATGGGAACAAGGGTGCAAGCTACGTGCATGGCCGCAGTACCCTCTAAAGTGGTTTCAAGAATGAGCTTTATTAAATAGCTTTTGTTGCTGACAACATTAAGGTGATGAAGCAGCGGTTTAGTCGTTGGTTGCTGCCATGAACTAGAAGCTGTGTGATGCTGTATAGAAAAGCCATGTACTGCTTAGGATGACCAATAAGCAGTCATTTGAAACCCTGGTAGAGAAAGCTGCTGTAACTTCCTCAGTTCATATTGTTCCTTCTGTTTTGTACCATAGCCATGAAAAGCAGAAACAGTAGCTATAAAAAAGTAGCTTTGGTGTTTGAAGTTTTTTATTGGTCCTAAATCTTAATCTTAAAGGCTATAAAAGTGCCAAGGCGCTGCTACAAGACATTTCGAATTTGATTTCTCAAACTGAGAAGATATGTTCATCTCAAAAAGTGCCATTAGAACCTGTGAACGGCTGCATGCAGTCATCTGGTGATTAACTGCCTTGATTCTGGCTACTTCCTGCATTTTCAAGGGGTGCACTGCCATAGACAGGTATGCAACTTTTTTGCAAAATTTTAGAGACAGCAAAAATTAAGAACCTTGGTGATAGTTGTGTCAGCAGGCACTCCCTTTCTCTCCCAATAAATGAAGTTCATTATCTGAATGCATGCCTTTTCAATAGCAGTTTGTTGACCATATCTTCTTATCTTTGTACTCGTGCTACTCTACTCCCATAGCTTGATCAATTTTATCTTATCCTTCATTGGTTTTAGGATTCATATTGCCACGTTCCTTTCCTCAAATTTTGTTATGGCCCCATTGCATACTCTTCAGCGCAAACTGTGCCTACGGTGTTAGAGAAGCTTCGAGGCTGTAATAGGTCGTTTTGTTAAGGCTACGCCCACTTCGTGAATCTTTCAGATTATTCTGGAACCTACGTCACCGTGAGCGATAACGCTAGAATGTTCAATGGCAAGTGTATAAATGCCGACACACTTCGCCGCTTGTCAATTGATCGACGGCCGGCGCTCTGTTCACTGCTATCAGTGCCAGTGTCTTACTTACCTTTTGCGTGGCCACAAGTTCGGTTCGAATAAACAGTTTCTTCTTCGAGGTGGAGTCTGCTTCTTTTGTTCACGTCACGACCCCGTGACAATATTAGCAATTCTTTTTACATTTGCTTCATACGATATCACGATCAAGGGATGAGAAGACTGCATATATTGTGCGTTCTTGATACAATTCTGTTTTCCTCTGCGAAGATGCTTCAAAAGCACAAAAATCACAAAAATTGCTCCGAAACAACCTGAAAAGCAAGTATCTTGATGCCCATGTTAGCCTCAGTGGGGAAAAAAAGGCTTAGTTAACTGCATAGTTTTCCAAGCGGAGCCAGGAATACCAGGAAAATAAGACGTCCGCACAACACAGGATTACACTCTAGCATGTTTCTTCTAGTGCACCTATCCAATGAAAGCTGCAATGGTGCCATCATAACCACCGCTGGGTGGTTGTAAATATGCATGACCCTGCACAAATGTTCTTCTGTGCTCTGGGTGTCCTATGTGTACTTGCTGGCCTGTATGTTCTGGTACTATGCGCTACCATTTAGAAAAAACTACTGCATGCCATTCGTAGTGCAGTTGACTCGAAGGTTGCAAAGCATGTCCCCCTAGTTGCTTTGGTTTTCGTGACAACGCTACTGCGTGTGGTCACCTATGCGCACGTTTGCTGTGGGCGATTACCTTGTTGCGTCAATGCGGCATCATCTAGCTTCCTGCACACGCCGTGTCCCCTAGGCTCTACCTGTACTGCATGAGAAGGTAGCAGTGAACTAATATGAAGCACATTTGTGTTGTCCTCTAATAAAAGCGTACAATATGCTTACAACAGCGCTACTCATTGTGTGCTCGTATGACGTGATAGTCAGCATGGTGGAGTTTCTTGACAACTGCACTGCGCTCCTGACAGTGGTCCCGCACTTGATGGCAGTGAATGGTGGTACAGTCCGCTTTTGTTGTCACTTGCTCAGAATGGGCAGTATACTACATAACACCAACTGCACTGTTGAGCTGATAGCTAAAGGCGCTTATTGTGATGTTCTCCTGACAAAAGTGACACTGACTTACTAGAAACAGTTAAAACAGTAATCTGCTAAATCACATAACTGAGTTTTAAACAAAGGCCTACTGCTAAGTGTACTGCATTTGTTATAGAAATGTGATGCTTATTTTTTTTTCAAATGTTTCAGGTGTACTCAGTTTCCAGAACCTTTTTTATGTATTATTTTATGTGTTCATTATGAACTAGATAGGTCACTTGGTATCTATATAGGTAGTGTCGTTTATAAGTGGTGATAATCTCTTTAAAAAAAAAAAAAACCTTCTTCTAGGGTTTTTTTTGTTATGTCTATTCTGTAACCCAATGAAAATATGTACTTGTCTTGTCAAGTTACTACAAATTTTTTTTCAAACTCCTGAGATCACAATAAACTCTGCTAACTGATCCAAATTGAGGTTTTCCTGCTCTAAAATCTACATTTTGCTGCTCAAAAAACTGTCCCCAATTAAGTTTGAGCCATCTCAGCCTTGATGCGCGTGCTTCAGTGTTTAGACTCCACTATCATCTTTTTTTTTATTGTCCTTTACGGCAACTTCTTGTGACCTGGCATTGTCATTGCATTATTCCGTGTAATCACTTTTCCATTGTTTTGATGAGTGCAATAGAAAGGTCTTGCATTCGAAGCAATGCATCAGTTGAGTAGAGTGCTGTGTCTTTGTGTCTTCCTGGGTGCTCTGGCTTTTTTGCGCAGTTTAAGTCTTTCTTCAGCAAATATCCTTGCCTTTTCTTAAAGTGCTCAAGGGGAAAATTTTACTGTCAACTTGCATTAGATGAATCTAATATTTAATTTTTTTACACGCACCTGGGATGGCAGTCTATGTAGACGGGTGCCACTTCTGTTGGTGCGCTTGTGACGAGTGTCTTTGTTTACAGGCTGCGTGTAATAGGTGCTTCATTCATGTGCTCTAATAGTATTTCATGAATGTGGCTTGGACTGTGCAGGTGCAAGGGCATGTGAAGCGGACCAAGATTCAGTTTGAGAAGCTTAAACTGGACACACTACAGAAGGTCGACCTGCTTGCAGCTTCACGCTGCAACATGTTTTCTCACGTGCTGGCCGCCTACCAGAATGCACTACTCTCTTTCTGGGAAAAGACCTCCTCCACTATGAGCAATGTAGCGGAGAGCTTCAAAGGGTACCAGCATTACGACTTTATCGTAGTCAAGGTGTGTACAAGTTGGGGGAACATTCAGCACTTGAGGTAGAAGGGGTATCTTTTTTTTATTACCAGTTAGCTGGGTGTGCTTTAAAATCATTAGCAGCTTACTATGGTCTTTAATATTCTGCATTGTGCATTTTCGACCAGTGCTCATTAAAAGCTCAAGCTTACAAAATTCTGAGAAGCCACAGCTTATACTATGAGAAATAGAATGAAAATAGAAGCTGTGATGTCAAGAGACAAGGCAGATAGAATTGGAGTTGACCAGCTCTTGCCAAGTGTCCCACCACGGTGGTCTAGTGGCTAAGGTATTTGGCTGCTGATCCGCAGGTCGCGGGATTGAATCCCGTCGGCGGCGGCTGCATTTCCGGTATAGGCGGAAATGTTGTAGGCCTATGTGTTTAGATTTGGGTGCACGTTAAAGAACCCCAGGTGGTCGAAATTTCTGGAGCCCTCCACTACGACGTCTCTCATAATCATATGGTGGCTTTGGGACGTCAAACCCCACATATCAATCAATCATCAATCAGCTCTTGCCAAGTGAGACAGGTGATAGACAGCAGTAGGACATGTCTACATTGTCCACCACGAGACATACAGTCGCCAACAGATTTTTCGAACTCCGAAAATTCGGACTTGCTGAATATCTCAGACTTCACAATTGCATCGTCAAGGTTCCCATTGCACTCGCAACCGCGATTTTTCGGACAATTTTATGTTCCAAAGTTTCGATTTTCTGGACTAAACCCTATCATTATCATCAATACATCGGTAGGTTGTTTTTATTTTCTAGGCGTTTGTTTTTCTCTTCGTCATTGCGCACGTGGCCGTGTTAATGGTGTGCGAAGTGTGTTTGAGCCGTCGTGTGCATCACATGCTCGCAAGTGGTACATAGGTGTTTTCTGATGCGCGCTGCTATTCGCGATTGCTTATTGGCACTTCGTGGTAACGCGTGGTAACGGTGCCCGACTATGTACTGACCCAGAACATGTGGGTTCGATCGTGGCCACAATGGTAGCGTTTTGATGGTGGCGAAATGCTGGAGGCTCACCAAACAGGCAAGACGTTGCATGTATCTTTTTGCTACCGACACCAAGTATTGTTTGCTTGATTTCGTGACGAAACCACCAACTTTGCCGCCCGCAACAGTAGGCGACAGTAATTGCCAATGCGCTTGCCAATTATGTTACCGTAGCCCAAATAGAACCAAATTTGCTCATCCCCAAGAACAGCATGCAGCATGGAATTACTGTTTTTAGGCTTTTCTGAACCACATCAACTTTATTTTCTCGGCGTGACCATTTTTTCCGACTGTACGACTTTTTGGACTATTTTGCGATCCCTGTCAGGACCGGAAAATCAGTCGGCAACTGTATAATATAGCCTACCCTCTTCAATGTGGACCATGATAAATCTGAGAAAAATATATAAATATATATTTTTTTCTGATTTTGTCATATTTGAAATTTGATCCGTGGTTAGTGGTATAAAGGCAGATTTTGGAGTAGCTAAGTATGAATATTATTAAAATTTTGAAGCCACCCTGAAAGCGTCATGAAATCATCAAATTGACTGTGTGTTTAAACTACCACCAAAATACAAACAGAAGTTGCAAGAATAAAAAAAGAAAAAGAATTGTACATGAAGGAATACATGCATACTTTCCACAGGGTTGGGAAAAAAAGTTGCATAAAGTGTACTGATTGTGATAAATTGCTTAGCGAGGTGTGGAAGAAGTGACCGATCGCACTGGCAGCTTTTTTGTTTTTCACTTGGAGAAGGTACCGATACTGATGTATTTGTGACAGGTGGGCAATATCTGTGCCAATTGCACCAATTTGATACTATTCCTTATTTTCGTGCCAAGCTGAGCTGTAACAGTGAAATTTCTTGAAACTGTGCCAGACTGCACCAAAATGGCTGACCAGCCTTAAAATTTTCTCGATTGTGCAAATTTAGCAAAAAAAAAAAAAAGAGGCCGTGTTGGCCACATGCAGTTTGGACATCATTCTGTAATCCAATTCAGACGTGCAGTACTGTGATAGTAAAGAAAAGTGACGGTGGTTACAAACATTTCAGGACTGTTCTGTCATATGTAGAATTCTTTTTAAGCCACTTTTGCCACAGTAAACTGGTGTCTTGTATAAAAGTGTAGCAAGGAGAGGGCAACTGTGGATACAGGACTGTGGGAGAGGGGGGTGCCATGACGAATTGTGGGAGTGAAGAGGGAACAGGTGTTAAATAGGCGTCATCCACAGTTGCCCTCTCCTCCTTCATTAGAATGGAGGAGAGGGAGGGTACCAAACGCAGACACGCTAGTGTTAAAAATATCAGTTCTGTTCTAGCTTTGAGAATAACAAGTCTGCTTGTCAAAACGTCAGCTCTGGCACAACCTCTGCTTACGGATTTTTTTATTGCAAGCTTCCCTCTTCCTCTTCCTCCAGATATTAGGCCGTTTTTTAAATATTTGTATAAATGAGTTCATATTTTACTTTTTCCTGGGTTATTAAAAACATCTAGCCTGATAAATTAGGTTATTGATGGATACTAAAGGCTTTTGTGTAGTGTATAACTGTGTGGTAATGATGGTGGTATCACACACCACAGGAACTCCAAGAGCCAAGTAGAAAACTGGCTGAAAAAATGGGCAATGGTGAAGAAAAGGCCAGTAAAGAAGACGGCGACAAAGACAGGTAGGATAATCAATAATTATATTTGCCAGAGAGGGAATGACATATATACGTGTCTGCGTAAATGTCATTGAGGCTACTTTTACTTTGGCTGGGTTATAGAAATTTGGAATGAATGCTTACAATGCTTGCGTGTGTGGTGTTACATGGGGATTGCCCCATGAAATTCCACACACGCACACACGTACACATACATTGTTTTTCCAGTGCCTGTACTAGGTCACTGTGACACCACAAGTTTTTATCATTTCATTTAATAATACTGTCAGTTTTCTTTTGGAAGGCCATGCATGAGCAGTGCATAAAAAGTCATCAGTGCATGCGTTTTCTTCGAAAGAATTAGTAGTAAAAGCATAGTATACAAGGCAAACATTTTCAGTACATACTTCATGTTAGAAAAGTATATTGATGTATGCTTAGATCTGTAGGGTTCCTTAGCAGTAAAGATTTAATACATTGCATTCCAAAGAAACCAAAGAATTTAAGCTTTGAAGACTTTTATTCAGCGAGCATGGTTAAAAAACACAAATTATGCTTTGAAATTCATGATATCTTACCAACGTGCTGTTGTTGAGGTTTGGTGAAAATTTTGAAAAAGTGGAACATTGAACTTTGGTCTCTCTTCTCTAAGAATAAATTATCAGTGATCTAACATTTCTCTTTCATGTCTCTTTATTCAACGTGTTGGTACAAAACCTTTAAGGTTAGCACAGCTACTACATTTGTAAATTTAGAAGTCTTGCAAACCACAATATATTGATGTATTGACTAATTTAAAATTTAAAAAACGTTGATTATCAGCAGGGCTCCGAAGAGATGCTTTAAAATTGTATCATGTTTGAGATATACGAGATACTAGTTGTGGATAAATTACATCATAAATAGCAGATAGCAAGAGAAGTCATTGAAGCGTTATACATTCGAAGAAAAGGAGAAGAACGCATTAGTGTAATCTACTTTCTATCACACTAAGTGATGCGGAATTCTGACACCTAAGCGCCACCTGCACATGTTGATCACAAAGATTATCAGTTTTTGTTCAGTTTTTTTTACCTTCGTATTTGCATGTTTCTTCTTGATAAAGTTTAGTTGTGAGTCAGCGCCCGTGTTCTGTACATTATTTCTTCTTAGTCCCTCAGTGCGCTGCTAAAATTAAGATCTTAAGTTAGTACATTTACTCTCGGATTGAGCAGCGATCGGTGGCCGTCCTTCCATGCTTTCACTTACAAATAGGGCATACAATGTGTATTTGTTAAGTGATGTTGGTGATTTAGACACTTTAAGACGAACTCTGTTAAGACGAACAACTCGGGAATATTTCTTTGGTTTCCTATAGACTCAATGCAAAAAAAACCTACTTAAGTTGAACCACGTAAACACGCCTCTTCTGTTAAGACGAACTCTCACAGCTATCGACAATGTCGGGAATTCTGCGCAGCAAACATTAGAGCCTTGATGAAGGCATTCAGGGGAACAAAAGAAAGCAAAATGAAAAAAAAAAGACCTCCTGACGCAATGACTCAAAACAAGTCGAAAGTAAATTGCTATGTGGAGAGAGAAAGTGAGATAAGTAGGAAAGAAAGGTCAGTGCATAAAGCTGGTATCTCCCTCAGAAAGGGCCAGCTTTAGCAGCAAAAAAATCAACAAAAAGCGTTTATCCCTTTGTATTCTCCTCGCGGTCTTCAATTCCCCAGCAGGAGTACAGTGGAGAACACAAGAACCCAAAAGCTTTTCTAGAGGGGAAAATTAAAGGGAAGGGGGCAAAAAAAAAAAGCCAAATGAAAGTGAAAAACAGGAACAAAGATTGTGCATTATAATCACATGAAACTGAAACCACATATGCGGCACTAGCACTCCCATCAGAGGAGTCAGATGCGCTGTCATCGTCATCCCACAATGGTACCTGAGCACGTGTGGTCAATTTGTGTTGTTTTGCATAGCACCTGTGTGCATTGTATCTGTTCACAGTGAAATGCAGAAAATTCTGATGCACCACTTTTGTTATGAAAGTGCATGACAAAGGAAGGTAATTTTTACCACTAAACATAGCTGTGTCGTTTCTTTTTGTGTGCCTGAGGCTTGTGGACGCGAGTAGCGTAAAAGAAGATCTTCGGCTGCATCTTGTTCAGGAAAAGTTACTGCAGGCTGAAAATAAGAGAAAACCCAGACCCCCCCTCCCCCCCAAAAAATCTTGCAGACTTTCACAAGCAACTTGGCATATATTGGCTTTGTCAAGTTAATGATATGCAGTGGAGGTGTATCCAAATGTGATAGCAAAGTAAAGTGTGGGATTGGGCTACTTGGTAATCCATTATTATTTTTCAGAATAATTCATTAATAATAATGATTTTTGGCCACTGATTATTCTGAATGTGGGTGTCAATCATTGTTCAAAAAGGCAAGGGTTCTTGCGTACCACCCTAACGGAGGCACGAGACTTGTAATCGAAGCTGCAGCAACGGCTCGAGGCAGCTGCATCAGCAAACCATCAATAGCTTTATCTGAAAAATAATTGGCATATTTAAATGCAGCATGTGACGGTCCGGTGTGAGCACATGATTTGTTGCAAGCTCTTTTGACTTTGTTTTTGTCTGTTTTTTGTTTTCTGCTTAAGCAAGTGATCTTACCTTCTTTTTTTTTTGTAACATATATATGTGCACCTAAGTAGTAATAAATAAGTTGAAAGTCTGTGCTCGTCCTCATCTCTTGTGTTTGTTGTCGGAAGTTTTTCGCGCTAAGAAGCTTAATAAGTGATAGCAAAGCCAGTAAGACAGCCTCTCAGATGGTGAACAGCCAGAAGAATGAATTTTCCGTTCTTTGAAGAAAAATTGAGCTTGTCTCTCCTTTTCATATTTTTATAATTGGGAAAACAGGGCCGTGCTACAGTTTTGTTGTTAAAATGTGGTAGCAATTTATTCATGAACATGTTTATTATGAACTTAAAAACCAAATGCTAATATGCCAAGTGTGCCCAGATATGTTGTTTGAAAACACTGAACGAAGTATACTTACAATGGGCAGGAAAGGAACGAGAAGAAAGATTTATTTGGCTTAGCTTGATAAAAACTGCTTTCAAGTACAGTTACACTAATCTAATGAGGACGACAAAGAGAAGACAGTCTTTTCAACACCAGATGGGCTGTACGAATTCAACGTCATGCCATTCGGCCTTTGCAACGTCCCAGTAACATTCGAGCGGATGAGCGACACAGTTTTACGATGCTTTAAATGGAAGAGTTGCTTGTGCTATTTAGACGATATCATTATTTTCTCATCAATCTTTCCTCAGCACTTGCAACGACTTGACGAATTTCTCACGTGCCTTGCAAATGCAGGCCTTCAGCTGAACACCAAGAAGTGCCGTTTTGCGAGCAAGACAATTAAAGTGTTAGGCCACATCGTAAGCAAGGACGGCATTCCCCCCGATCTAGACAAGAATTCCGCTGTCCAACACTTCCCGTGTCCTGAAAAAAGCAGAGATTTGCGCAGTTTCCTCAGCCTTGCTTCTTATTTTCACCGATTCATTCGAGACTTCGCCTCAATAGCTTCACCATTGCACAAGTTGCTCGGATCAGACGTCGCCTTTGTGTGGTCTCCTTAATGTGAATTGGCGTTTGCCCAACTTAAGTATGCACTCATATCCGAACCAGGCCTTTGTCATTTTGACCACACTGTACCTACCCTCCTGCATACAGACGTTAGATGTCATGGCATTGGTGGTATTCTCCTATATCGAGACAACTCTTTACGTGGGAAGGTCGTCGCATGCGCCACCCGTGCACTGACCTCTGCCGAAAAGAATTATACCATCACCGAACAGGAGTGCTTAGCAGTCGTATGGTCTATACAGAAGTTTCGACCTTATCTCCATTGCCTCCACATTACTGTGGTTGAGGACCCTCATGCCTTGTGCTGGCTCTCAACACTCAAAAACTTGTCCGGCCGCCTTGGTCGCTGGATTCTTCGCTTACAAGAATATGACTTCAGTATTACACACAAGTCGGGAAAAAAACATTAAGATGCCGACGCACTTTCGCGTTGACCGTTACCTTCGGAGCCACTTAGCAAACCCATCACTGCCGCACTCAAGGAGCTTTCGTCTGTTCCTTCCCCACATGTTTTGTCCTTAGCTACTCTAGACCCATCTTCTCCAAACGAGTGTACTTTGTTGTTATCCCTCCAATGTGCTGACCCTTACTGCCGTCGCATCATGGACCGTCTTGACAGGACTTGTCGGCCTCCTAACGCCCGTCATCGCCGACAAGTGACGCAATTCAAGCTCGACAACTGCGTCCTGTACCGTCATATTTACCACCCTAATGGTCAACGCTGGTTGCCCATTCTACCTCGCTCTCTTCGGGCTCAAGTCTTCAAAACATACCACGGCGACATGTCTACTGGGCACATGGGCTTCCAGAAAATGTACACATGGACTTCCAGAAAACGTACGACCGCATAAAATGTCACCACCACTTGCCGGGCTTGTCCACCAGTGTCACAAAGTATGTTGCCTCATGCGCCTTTTGTCAGCATCGCAAGCTCTCTACATCACCTCTAAGCGGACCATTACAACCGCTCCCGTGTCACCTGCAACCATTTGAGGTAGTTGGCGTTGACCTGTATGGTCCACTTCTCATGACTGGCACGGGCAAACGATGGATAGTTACAGCTGTAAACCACCTGACCCGCTACACCGAAACAGCTCTTGTGCCTTCCGCATCCGCTTCGGAAATTGGTGACTTCATCCTTCGAGCAATAATTCTCTGTTACGGTGCTCCTCGTGTAATCCTGAGCTACCGTGGAAGAGTATTTCTTTCAGAACTCGTCGAAGAAGTGCTCAAAATATCCGGCACTACACACAAAACAAGCTTCAGTTACCGTCCTCAGATGAACATGCTGACTGAGCACTTTCATTGCACACTGTCAGATATGATAGCCATGTATATTGAACTGGACCACAGAAACTGGGACACCATTTTGCCATTTGTCACTTTTGCCTATAA